CCGGACCATGGGGCTCATTTATGGGTGACTGGGGAGGGGATTAAGAGGTGGGGAATAGAGGGAATCCGAATAGGAACCTCTGACCGCTTCGGCCGGGGCCGAGGCGAATTACAGTGTAACATCCTACTGCATCACCAGCTTCGGCATCTTTGTCCGAAGTTCGCCAGTCTACCTTTGACGTACCCAAACCTAGACCGCAACCTGGAACGCTCCAACGCTAAGCTGGTCAGCTTCACAAACCACAGCCGGCTTTCTTCATGTGCGCACGACCCCTCATCACCCAGTACATTTCATAAGAGGTACCGGAGAGACCCATTGCAGGCGATGATATTTCAATCCTGAATTCTTACCTGAACCCTATACAGCCTATGATCTCCCCTAAACTATAATGTTATCCGAATCTCAAGCGAGGTGGCGCCGATGATTCGCTGTCCGGAGGCCGGTGGCTCACCGCTGACGGCGCTGCCGAGGCACGCCGAATGCGGATTCAGGGTTCAGGGCTTGTGCATGCACTGGTTTGTAGGGTTTTTAGGGTTTGGTATGGTTCGGGGCTCAGGGATCTGGTTTCGGGTGTCGCGTCATGCGTATACTATAGTTGAGAGTCTAGTGAAGTAGTGCTTGTCATGCAAGTGCCGAAGCAAGCGAAGTACGCCGGGCGGATTGAACACCAGATCGAGACCTCATGCGTGCTTCTGACATTATTGCAGCGAAGCCCCGGGATCTTAAGCCTTCTATAGACTTATAGACCTTGCCTTTTCCCCCTTTTTTCCCCGAGGCCCTAAACCCTAAACCTTAACCCCCTAACCCCCTAAACCCCTTTGAAGTTTAAAGGGAACTTACCGGGCCCTTTTTTGGGAGGCCTCCAAACTGCTCCCAGAGTGGAGCTTACGAGTCGCCACCTCGGATCTGAATGGTTTGTTTCGCTAAGCTTCACCTTTAATGAAGGAGGAATCCCTAGTTAAGGGGTAGTCAGCTTTCTGGGTTGCGGCTTTTTTGCACAAGATTGTTCGGACCCTTTAGGACGCTTGAGGTTCTGTTGAGTACCAATATCACTGCGCGGCTTTTGCGATTACCTGCGGAACACCTTGCAGCTCGCAGGCAAATCGTCTGCAGGGTCAGACTTTTCCTGTCAGCTAGAAGCCCTACAGGGCGAATTCTTCCGCAAACCCCACACGAAACCCTACCCCCGGGGTTTGCCCTGTGGTGACACTTCGCAAAGGTTCCCCTCCAAACCCTGAAGATGGTTTTCAAAAACCCTCCTCTGATGGCTTTTCTGATAGCTTGCATGAGGCTGCTGGCAGGCTTTATAATCTTCCGGAACATGCCAAAGAAATGACTCTTCTCGGTTTTCGGCTTAAGAGTTTAAGCTAAACAAAGCGGATCACACAGAGACGGAGAGCATGGAACTGCCCTCCACACTTTCCGTTGTACTCAACTGCCGCAACAGCCGAAGTCTTTTCTGCAGCGACTTCGAAGTTTTCTCTGCATACCAGCGCCCCCCCCCCTCCACGTTCACCCTTCACTGTTTCACCCAACCAAACTTAGCTAAGCACATTAAGCACAAGCCAAAAATCCTAAACGGCCCAAATTCCAAGCCTGAAGCAAGGTCCACACGCCCACGCAGGGGCTGAGAGCCCTGAAAGAGGCCATCGCCAAGTTGACTGGTGCCCTGAAAAGCGAAGATGTTCAGGTCGTTCCTCGGATTGGCATCCATCGGGGGGCCTGAACAGCTGGTGATCTTGCTCTTATTCCTGTATGAACCGCTGGTATTTGTAACATGGGATGTGTGCCCAATCCCGCAAGCCGACAGCACCCAGATACCAAGTTGCATGTTGCAAGACTTTGATGAGGTTCGGTTCTGTTGTGCCTCAGGACGTCAGGAGAGGTCATGGAGTCGACATCTTTGGGTTTGCAAAAAGTAGAAAATGCAACAGCATTATGACACAGTACATACCATCTAATATCATATATCACCACTTAATATAGCAGAACATGACACAACATGATATCGCATAACACAAAATAAACTACTGTAATATAGCATAAGACAATAGTATACTAACATAATAAAATAGTATATAGTATAATATAAAATATCATTATAGTATAGAAAAGGTACAACATTGTTCAAAGTAAGAGTATACTATAGTTCAACATATTGTCGTATTCTGCTATGTGCAAGCTGCCGATGGGCACCACAAAGGAACTCTCCACAGCAGGCTCCGTGGCAGTGACGCAGCCGGAGCTTGGTCAGCAGCAAGTTGCTTCCACGTCATTATGCGATAATATGCGATACTATACTTTACTTTACACTTTGCACTATACTATACGATTTTGGTGGTCTATACCGGACTATACCATATCATAGTGAAATCGATTCTGATCTAATCTAGTGTAATCTAGCCTAGTCTGAGCTATCTAGTGTATTATAATATGATACGTTTTGATACCCAGCGCCCCAGAAGCAACCTTCGTCGTCGTTGCACTGAACCGATTCGTAGACCCCCTACCCATACTACCAAATTCGAACTCATACCCGACAACAAGACAATAATCACTAACACGCTTGTGGAATGAACTGTGGATATATATATATATATATGTATATGTATGTGTATATGTGTTGGTTAGAATTACTGTGGCTACAGTGGACAGTACAACAAACAGAAATATAGACGGTTGAACAAGACAAGGTGCACTAAGGCACCAAGGATAAGCGCAGCTCCAATAATCACAAGAATACCGACAAGTATTGCCATCATTAAGATGTCTCATCAAAAACAATGAGCTTACAATCACCTCAATGGGTTTTTCTCTTCTCCAGAGGAGCGGCCACAGGGGGAGGTGTGCTGTCTCTTCTGGATTCCAGCTGGCGACGCAATGGACGAGCTGCGACAGCGTGCCTTTCCTCATGCAGCTTTAGGAAACGTTTGAGGGCGTTTGGGGGTTTGTGGAATTCGGATGAGAGAGGTTGAAGAAAATGCAAGACTATGAAAGGAAGGGTTTGATGTCGCTTCCAGTGCGGGGCACATGCAGCCTAGGCGCTTGTGAGGTGCGAAAGGGACCGGCAGTTGCCTGAAGCTACCGGAGAGCAGAAAGGGGAAGCCATCGTTCGAGGCCGGACTGATGAGTAAAACCGGAGCCGGGAACGGAACGATCATGCTCGTTCAACCAGTCTCCCAATTCACTTACGGTAGAGGGTGGCCGGGAGTGGGGGAGGCAGGAATCAAGAAACCGCTTCCTGGTAGCACGGAAGTGGACTTAGGTGTTGAGCAGCTGGACGCGAAAGCCTTCACCCAGCAGTTTGCAGCGAACATGCTTGATGTTGGCCTCGATGCTATGGCCTGTCTTCAGAGTGTTTTCAACATATTAGTTATGATTATTAGTATTATTACAAGTCTTATTATTGTCTTTACTATTCGTAGTATCTTAGTGGTATGAACCTGCCAGAAAAGGAGTCAGTAAAGAGAGTCATGACCCCAAACTTTGCGTCGTCGTAGGGTAGGTAACCTTTGGCCTTGTCGGGTTAGTATAACCCAATAGGCCCTCAAAGGATAAGCTTTAGTTCCTCTTTCTTCTTGCCGGCAGCTAGCATAGTCTGGATTCACAAGCGCATGGAAAAATCCCTACGTTGGAGTTGTTGAGATTTCATTCATTATAATTATCCTTTAAGCCGCTCGGTTGGTGGCTATCGTGCAGCATCCCTCGGTTCCTCCCCTAGGAATGCACAGACATGCCTCGGGCGAGCGTTTTCGCCGCAGCGACCACGCAAAATGGCTGGTCAATGGCTTGCTGTTTGGTGTTTACCAAGAGTGGAAAAAGCCCTAAACCTGAACCCTAAACCAAAGCACAAAAGCCTAGACCTTATTATACCGAGCCCGCGAGGATGTGGATGCGAGCCACCTGAACGTTCTGGAGCCGTTTCAAGCATCGACAGCATCGGATCCCGAAACTGGTCCGAGTCCAAGCAAACTCAACCGTCTTGATCACGACACTTGAGAGGAAAAACCACCGAATCGGCAGTGTTTGCGCATATAATGTCTGTCTCTACATAAAATAGATAGAAAATAGATATAGACAGATGGATTGATAGCTCCAGATATCATGTGAGCTTAGGTACCCTGTGTATATAGATATGGATGCACACATTTACGTGTTTATGTGAATGTGTCTAAATACATCTCCATTATATATATATATATTATGTGTGTGTGTGTACATGTTTACGTGTGCATACATACACACAAGCTAGCAGCTAGATTTTAAGCACCCCTCCTCCAGTGTACCCGCCCTGTTCTGCTTCGCTTGTATCTTCCGTTCCGGGTGCCCAAGGTGCTTCGCTGGTTCGTGGCAGCTTCAAGTTCGCGGTGCGCCAGCAGGCCTACTGGTGGATTGTGTGGGCTTATCGACACTGCGGGGTCCTCACAATAAGGATCTCATTGCGGAGTGTACCTGTTTCTCACTGAAGCACCTGTGTGCGGCCTATCGGCTGCATCACATAAATATCACCAAAGGTCGTGTGAAGCGAGGTTTGTTGTGCTTCTTACAAATAACACCAAAGGTCGTGTGAAGCGAGGTTGGTTGTGCTTCTTCATGCAAGCTTACTGACAGCGGCAAGCTCTGTAGCCGGTAGACTTCATCTCTCCTTATCTTCAGCTTCTTGGAGATTTCGGGCGCAAGCCTTTGAGCGGCAGCCGGGATCTAAGTCCCCAATGGTTGGGCGAGTCCGAAGATTTGAGTGCTTCGGGGCTGTCTTCCTCTGCCCTACCCTACCCCAGAAACCCAGTGACATGTACCTGCACAGTAGGTACTGTTCTGGTCCTCACATTGGACATAACCATCGCGCGATTATCTCAGGTATCTGGGCAAAAAGCAATTCGTAAAACACATAGAAATCACGCTTACAACGTACCTGCCTGTTGTCAGACGGCATATAAATAGCATGCTGCTGTTTCTGGCAGGAGAGGTATCACGACGACTTCATCATCCCCGTGGACCTACCTGATGAAATCGACGAATCTTTCCTCAAATCTGACACGGCCGACGACAGCCGGAGTAGGAATCAGGGTTAGAATGACTGAGAAAGCACGAACAGCACTGCCATTGCCTAGTCATCAAACAACCACGAACAAGCGTAAGACTGAGCATCATTCAGCAGTGGTAGCAGAACATATGATCGAGAGGATGCTCAAAATCATGGCATTGTTAGCTGTGGCAGCTGTGGGGTCTTTGCACCCTGCTCGGTTTTGGATGCAACGTCGGATCAACAGTCTTTCAGGCAAGCCCGGAGGGATTATTATTAGTATTATTATTGCTTCAGGGTTTTCACCTCATGTTTGTTAACGGCTGTGGGGTTTCGGCATGGTGGCTGTTGTCCTGACATGTCTGCTAGCCGCCGTGGCGGTGATGTTGGTTGTGCACTGCGAAGGCTTGCTGGGGTCAAGTCACTTCTATTGTATTTGGCATCATCATAGAGCGTTGCTGGTGGTGGTCGTCATCTTAGTGGAACTTATCTTCGTCGTCTTCATGCCAGTTGAGTTGTTGAGTAGGAGTAGAAGTAGCAGCAGCAAGCAGGAGCAGCGGCAGCAGCAGCAGCAGCGGTCAGGTGGCCAGTGTGACGCTGCGCCTAAACGAGCCCCAAACTCCATACTCGAAGCCCGAGGCCCTGAAACCGAAAGCCTGGTGATAGAGGCTTCTTGCCGATGCCTTGCCTGCTATGTGCGAGTTGTGAAAACGACGAAACCGTCGATCCTCCGACCTGATGGGATCCTCCCTCCTGGCTCTTCCGCACAAGGATGCCGCCCCTAGCGACCGTGAGATAAAGCAGCTCTTCGCCGAGGTGCCTTCAGTTGTGTTTAGGTTGTGGGGTTTGGGTTTCAGATTGGGTTTGAGTTTTCAGTACATGTCTTGACATGCACGCTCTAGTCAGTCTGCTATGTGTACCACTATGTCGTTTTGGTGGTCGTTAGCTCTTATTGACAATTGTCGTGCTTGTTCGATTGTCGTTAACATATTGGGATTAGACGAAGCTTCAGCTCGCAGGAAAACGGCTTCTATGGCATAGATGACATGGGGCAGAACTGGTTAGTACTACCATGCTGATGATGCCGAGGGATTTGCACATACTACATGTGAAGACTCCCCGGCTCTTGACAACGACTCAAAGTGCATGAGCATATGACCAAGTCGGATCCTAGCATGTCCGAGTCTGAGCACCTTGCCTAAACCGTTCTACCTTCCCAGGTGGACGACTTGATCCACAGTCAGGCCTTAGCAGCCGCGCTGGGAAGCCAGAACGGCCCGGCGATGGGAGAACGCTTGGAGCCTTGACTCGAACTGCAGGTTAGGGATTTAGGGGGCCAATGAAGGGGTGCACAACTAGTCATACTAATCCTTATGGTTTCTTGTTATCGTATAACACACCGCAAATCCCCATTGTAATGTCAGAGGCCCCTATTTGCACCAAAGACTCCAAACTCGCTATGTGCAAAACCCTATTAGCATACCAACGAGCAGTCTATAAGCCCGATACAGTTAACTGTTTTTCACACCGGAGGCAAGCTCTACCAGCCCTCAAATCTCCAGGCCGCTCCCAATATCCTAAGGGCAAAGCTCATCACTGATCACCCTAAGCCCTCTACTAACCCCAAATCCTAAGCCATACCTGATGCCAAGGAGCGCGCCACTTGCGCCTTAGCAGCAGCCCTTCGTGCTGATCTGGCCAATGCTATGAAGGCCCACTTCGAGTTGGGGTTAAGGGTATCAGGCCTTGAAGTACAGCAGTGGTTGTGTCTCTTGGATTTATTTCTGCATGTGAAACGGGTTTCCAGTACAAGCTCTTACGAGGTTGTGTGGTCGTTTTGGGCTCAGGGCTTTAGAGCTTTGTTTTGTTATGTCTTCGGATTCGTTTCAGTGGTTAGAGTCGGTTAGAGATCAGCAATCATTGAGTTCCAACAACTCAAAAGCGGCGATGACTTTAGTATTTAAACAGTGCATGGTTCGCAGGGCAAGCCTTTACGGTTTGGTGGTGCAGCGTTAACGGTGGTTGCTACACGCATCGACGCACACGAGCACTCCGAAACTAACGTGTGCACACACAGGCCCGATCAGACACACAACATGCACACACACCTCTCTCTCTCTCTCTCTCTCTCTCTCTCTAAGTATGTTATGCACACACCACACCACACGCACACATAGATATACAGGTAGGTGTGCATAACTTGTGTGTATATATATACACACACACATATATATATATATAGATATGTATATATCATATGTATTACCAGAAGATGTATTGATTCCTTGTTTGTGTTTATGGCTTCTTATGCATATGCACACACAGCATACGTCCAATACATGCTTGCGTACATACATACATTCATACGTACATACAAACGCATACATACACATACATACACACATACGTACTTACTTACATACATATATACATGAATACATAGATAGACACATACATACACATACATACATCTACATACATCTACATACGCATACATACATATACATACATATACGTACATAAACTGACATATACATACAGATACATACATACATACATACATACGTACGTACATACATACATACATACACTTACGCATGCATACACATGCATGCATGCATGCATACATACATACATGCATATACACACACGCATACATACATGCATGCATACATACACATATACATATACATACGAATACCTACACATATACATATACATATACATGCATGCATGCATACATACATACATATACACATACATACACATATATACACTTAAATAGACATACATTCATGCATGCATACATGCACAGCTGACCTACTTGCTTACTTATTTACTTACTTGTTTACTTACTTGCTTACTCATATGCTGACTTACCTACCTACGTACTTACTTGCTTATCTACCTACGTACTTGCACACATCAATCCACCCATCCATCCTTGCACATAGAACCTGACTCCCCCAAACCCCTAGCAAAACTCTAAACCTTCAATCTCCGCAAGACAGCCCCTTAGTGCCAGGAAGGCACCGAAACCGCCCTGAAGGTCTGGAGTGGCAGGGTTTTTGGGGTTCTGGGTTCGGGGCTCCGTGTGTTGATGAGTATGGGGGCTTTGGGATTGAGGGAGGGGGTTCTAGGACTTTAGGACGGGGTTTTGGATCCCAAAGGTTCGCTGGCTTTGGTGTTCTTGTGTTTAGGATTTGGGGCTTGGGATCTGCAAAGGGTTTGGCAATTTTGACGGTTCCAGGATTTTTGGTGTTTTGCAGGTTTCTGTTTCAGGGTCTACAGTTGTGTGTAAAATCTAGTGTAGCGCTTGGGCGTCACTTGTAAGATTTACATTTCGGCTCACTAAGTTTAAGGTTTGAGACTGTTGCGGCCAGACGGGACTTGAATCTGAGGCATCGCCGGATGTTCTAGAAGCCTGACCAGCTGAATGGCTACTAATACGATTCTGTAGGGCTCCTTATCATGAACTATACTACAACCTACCCCAAAACCCTCGCCCGAACTCCCGTAGGTTGACTGTAACAGTCAGCTAAACTTATAATGAGCCAATTCTGCACGGCCCTAGACCCACGCAGATCCCAGAGCATGGATTTGCAAACTCGCTCCAGTAGTTTTATTGGATGCCCCAAAACTCAACTCGAAGTGTTGAGGTCCTTAGATTTTCAAACATATCTAAGGTTTACACGGGGTTTGTAGCCTTGGTCTCAAGGACGCCCTGGGCCGGTTGCAGGACGTCTCCTTGCCGGAGGCACTAGTGGGCCTTCGGAGGGTTTCAGGTTGGTGGGTCGCAGTGCTCAGGGATTAGAAGGGTGGAGTGTCCAGAGTCTTCCTTGATTGGAAAGGTCGTGTTCCTGCGAGACCCTTGATGTTCGATATCCCAGGCTTGCGTGACCTCGCATCCTCTTTCGGCAGTGGATTTGCTTGCTATGCCTAGTAACCCCTGTTGTCGTTATTCTGAGGCCATGTCTGCGAGAAGACAGCTCTGCGACCTACAGCATCCCGGCAGCGAACAGAGGGTTTCAGAAGGCTTTCGGTCGAAGCCTCGAATTTCGGGGAAGGGAAATGGAGGTGGATGCTCTGCAGATCATGACGACTTTCATGACTCGCTTAACACCCTCATCACTCATGCGCCGTTCTCCTTATCCCAACGATGCTCCCGTCACCTCCGAGCTTCCGCTCGGGTTTCGGAGGCTTGCGCGCTGTGTGGAGAGTAAGAACATCTCCGAGCTCGCCATGGTCCTAAGAGAGGCCTTGGAGCTGAAAAAGAGTGGGGTCCGCGTTGTGTGCGGGTGCTTGGCTTGCTTCAAGGATCAGGGCACTCAGTAGGTATGGTGCTTGCTAAACGGA